CCGGTCTTTCCAAGCAGCTGCACCCCATCTTTGGACTGCACTGCTCCAGTTTATACACAGCCTTGATTCTATTGATGCTTTAATAAAAACATCTGACTTTATTTTACCAACAGGCTTTAAGCTAAGTTGTTGTTTTTCTCTCCACCTGTTTTTACCTGTGCTTCTGTAAGAATGTGATGCTTTTAAATGCTTTCAAATGTTTTTTTCATTTGTGTCGGTTTTTCTTGCTCTTATTGTGAATTACTTTGTGATTTTATATCTATGAAAGGTGTTAAATAAACAAACTTTACTTAATTAAAAAGCTGCAGCAGCCTTCGTTAAGCCAGTTGAGTTTTGTTCCAGAAAGTGCTGAAATATTTTGTCTCAGCTGCAGGAGGCCCGGCTCGCTCGAGATGATGAGGTCCAGAAAAAGGTTCTGCAGGAGTACGACCTGATCCAGGAGAAGTGAGGCTGATGGTGTTTTTATTTMTCTTACACAACAGGATATTAAGCCCCTCATCTCTGAAATGAACACATGATGAATGTGTTCATGAATGAGCTCTGCCTCACGTCTGTCTCAGGACTTKTCCAAAGTCAGACCTGACGTCTCAGTCTGCTGTAGTGACGTGTGCAGCTGTCTGTCTGATGTGTGTTTGTGCAGAACAAAGACAAACAACTCTAAATGAAGACATTTTAGCTGGTCCAGTCTACAGACACCTGACTACTGTCAGACTGTGAGACTGTAGATGTTATATGTAGTGATGCTAACAGAGCTGGATTCAGTCTGTTTTATAGGATCAGGTCTAACATCATCATCTGTCCTGCTGACAGGATGATTGTTTGACCTGATCTCACATCACATCCATCATTGAATCARATCATTTAAAGTTGCATCAACCAAACATTTAAAAAATTACAAACATTTCCATGTTTTTCTGCCTTGCTCCTCCTCCTCTGATGGATGGGTTCTGATCCCAGGTACATCACAGTCCTCATGGCCCAGGCCAAGATCTACTGGAACCGGGAGAACTTCCCGATGGTGGAGAAGATCTTCCGTAAGTCTGTGGAGTTCTGCAACGATGACGACACCTGGAAGCTGAACGTGGCCCACGTTCTCTTCATGCAGAACAAATACAAGGAGGCCATCGGCTTCTACGAGCCCATCGTCAAGAAGCACTACGATAATGTGAGTTTCTCACCAGAACCCATTGCTGGGTCCAGGTTCAGGGGCTGTGTCCTTTGAAGGACCCTGTGCTAGGTGGGTCAGGTCCTTTGTCCACCGTACAGACCAGAAGACGAGCTGTGGATCTGAATGGTCTGACCTGCTTTATTCCTGCCCACAGCCTGATGACACTAAACACATGGAAATAAAATTATTAATCTTATAAAAGAACAAACTGAGCTCAGAGGTAATTCATGAAGAACAGAGGGAGCGCCGTACGAGCTCGTTTGATTAATATTAAAACCAGGAAGTCATTAACATCAGGTTCAGTTTTTATACCTCCAGGTTTTTATTTAAAACTCTTCTCCTTCCTCTCACTTCCTCCACCATTACGAGCAAAAAGAATTGTCCCAGTCCACCCACGGTTCATCTTGGGATAGGCTGGGCCGAGAAGGATCCACTGGACCCGTCCTTCAAATGGGGACAGGAAAAGGACACGTGTGGACCGCAGTGACGAGTCTTTGAACTTGGACCACTGTGATGTAAAGTTTGTCCTTTGAAGGACTCAGTCCCTGAATGTGCTGAGAGGTTGTGAGGGTTCTGGACCCGAGGACAGAGTCTGAGGTGTACCTTTGTGTCCAGGTGGAGCAGTGTAACATTCAGGAGTGTCCCTGCAAGTCCAAAGCTTCGGTAAAGACCAGATGTGTGGTTTCACTCCTCTGACGTGTCTTCATCTGTGCATGAGATCTGCTCCACTTTCTTTGTTTGCAGTGAGCTTTCTAATCTGTCTGGGTCTGGAGTCCAGGTTCTGATAAATACCAGACCAGGTTCCTGCAGTGATGCTGCTGTTTACCTGAGCAGCAGTGAAACTGCATCCACTTCATGAACATTTACAGGATTTAATGTTTCACCTCCAACAGCACCTGCTGCTGCTGCTGCTGCTGCTGCTGCTGCTCTGTGTTTGATTTCACATGTTCAAACATGTTCCTGATCAATGAATGAATGAATGAGTGAATGAATGAGTGAGTGAGTACACTGTGTGTGTGCTGCAGATCCTGAACGTGAGCGCTGTGGTCCTGGCCAACCTGTGTGTCTCCTACATCCTGACCAGTCAGAATGAAGAGGTAAACATTCCTCAGGGATGAATTCACACGATGCCTTCAGGATCACTGTTTCATGTAGGACAGATGAGCTCTGAGGTCAGCAAACACTTATTATCACGACTGGATCTAACACATGATAACACAGGCTCCGCCCCTTTTTGTCCTGGCTCTGATTGGATGTGACTCAGCTGCTGGTTGAACATGTCCTCTCTACAGGCTGAAGAACTGATGAGGAAGATCGAGAAAGAAGAAGAGCAGAACTCTTATGATGACCCCAACAAGAAGGTGTTCCACCTGTGCATCGTTAACCTGGTCATTGGGTGAGTCCAGCTCCACAGGAGGGACATTTAGCTGTTATTAGCTTAGTTTATAGCAGCAACATTTAGCTGTTATTAGCTTAGTTTATAGCAGCAACATTTAGCTGTTATTAGCTTAGTTTATAGCAGCAACATTTAGCTGTTATTAGCTTAGTTTAAAGCAGGAACGTTTTAGATTTAATAG